TCAGAATCCTGCCGCAAACAACAGACACTTAGAGCTGAGCCAGGTGGCACACGCCTGTCACCCATAGCTGAACAGCCTCTGGAGCCTGAGGCAAAGGGTGAAAAGTTGTAGACCAGACTGGACTACAGAATGAGTTCAAGACTATCCTGAGCAACTTAGTGAGACTTTGTTTGAAAATACAAAGTAAAAAGAAACCTGGAGATGGGGCTTGGTGGTAGAGCACTTCCCTAGAGCCTTCCTCCAGCATGCACGAATATAGTTCAGTGCTATGAATGTAATTCAGTGGTAGAGCACTTACCCAGAAATACCTGGTGAGTTAATATAGGGGGGTGGCTCAGTGGTAGAGCACCTGCCTAGAATCCCCCAGTGAGGGGCTGGGGGTGTGGCTCAGTGATAGAGCTCCTGCCTAGAATCCCCCAGTGAGGGGCTGGGGGCGTGGCTCAGTGATAGAGCACTTACTCTAGTCCAACCCTCAGTATCTCAAAAACAAGACAAAACAACAATTCGATACTTCGCACTTCATTTGCTACAAAGCACAGACTCCTCACCCGGGTCTACAAGGCAACTAAGTAAAAGCAGGCTGGAAGCTCGGTGTCTTCGTCCTGCACTCATCCTCTACTTTGGGTCAGCTGCTGCCTCTCTGTAGGTCCGTTAATCACTCAAGGGCGTCCATCTAAAACTTGGTGATACTTGTTCTAGCTTTTCACTGTCCACAGTGAACGGTGAGTCACAGGGCACCTTACTGTCAGCACCTACACCCTCCTGTTCCAGACCTCGCAGAGGCGCCAGTCATCGTGGACCTCTAGTCATGGGGCTAGAGCGATGGCTCAGTGGTTAGGAGCACTTGCCTTCCTTGTAAAAGAAAAAATTCAGTTTCTGTAACTCCAGTTCCATGAGATATGGCGCCCTCTTCTGGCCTCTGTTGGCACCTGCACTCACATGCGCAGACACAGACAGCCAGACAGACAGCCAGACAGACACACACACACACACACAGAGTCATAATACAGACATATAATTGAAAGTAAATCTAAAAACAAACAAACAAAAAACAAAACAAAACAAAAACTCTATACCTACAGTCACCTTGAATTCCTGAATTCCAGAAAAAGTGGGACAAAGCCCCTGCCTGAGTCCACGAAGAGGCGGCTGCAGCTTAGAGCTGGAGTAGCTCACGTCTGAGAATTATTCTGTTCCCCTCAAGCAACAAGGCTTTTTTGGACCTCTTCACAGAACCAGACAGCGACCAACCAGACCCACCTTGACCACAACACACGACTCTCCTTCCTTCCCTAACCCTTTTCCTTAAGCCAAGAGCTCAGAGACTGGCAGAGTCACGTGACCGCTTGACCTCTTCCCACCGCGCATGGCCAAAGTGTCTCTCTCTCTCTCTCTCTCTCTCTCTCTCTCTCTCTCTCTCTCTCTCTCTTCTCTCTCTCTCTCTCTCTCTCTGCTTCTTATTATTGTTCGTCTTCTTTTTGCATTTTTTGGTGTCTTATTTTGTTTTATTATTTCTGTGCATGTGTATGCGTGCGACACATGTACACATGTGTGTGCAGGCTTGTGCACCTGTGCATATGCTTGCAGAGGCCAGCGGAAGTCATCAGATGTCCTGTTCTGTCATCTGTCAGCTTACTCTCTTGAGGCGGGGTCTCTCACTGAACCTGGAACTCACTGTTTCTCTGACTGGGCTGTGCCCCCATAGCACTGGGGTTACTGGTATTACAGGCAACCCCGCACTATGCTTTTTGTTTTTTTAACATTTATTTGTGTATGTGCACATGTGTATGTACAGAGGTCATAGGTCAACTCGTGGAAATTGATTTTCTCCTGCTAATGTGTAAGTCCTGGTGTTTAAGCCCAGGTCATCAGACTTGGCAGAAAGCACGCTTACCTGCTGTTCCAACTCATTGGCCCTATACCTGGCTTTTACAAGAGTGCTGGGGATTTGAACTCAGGGCCTCCTGTTAGCCCACTGAGCTACTAGATAGAGGCTTATATAGCCCAGGCTGGCCTTGAACTTTTGATCCTCCTGCCTCCCTCACCCCACCCCCCGGGGACTGAGATTATGAGTGTGGACCACTGTGCCTGGTGTCTTCACTCTTTGATTGACACACAAGGCAGATGGCCCAGCTTGGCCTGTACACACTCAGAAAACTAGCACTTTTGTCCTAACATTCATTACACCAGGCCTGCCTGCACCCCTCTGCACCCCTCAACGGCAGCCTGTGTCTGAGGCCCTGGCAATTGCCCGGGTGCAGCAAAGCCTCCCAAGTCTGTGGGCATCGGTTTCTCCAGGAGGAGGTTCCTGCAAATCCAGGCTTTGAACTGGGTAAAGAAGAGAGAGGGGCTGAGAGACAAGCCTTGGGGTCACAGCAATCAAAGCTCTCCAGAGTGGCTTTGAACGTCTCTGTTCCACATTAAAGAGCTTTGGTCTGGGGAGACAGACGTAAACAGACAATTAAAGTCTAGAGGAGTGAGGGCCTGGGGGATCATTGTGACTGGTGGCTGGGGGTGGGGGGGAGGAAGGACCGAGGGAGCCACAGAGGGGGGGGGGGGTGGAAATATCTAGCTGTGCAGCCCAATCTGGCCTGGAAGTTGTTCTGTAGCCCAGGCTAGCCTGGACTTCTTGGTGATCCTCCTGTTCAGCCTTCCAAGTACTGGAATCATAGGTACAAGCTGCTGCACACAGACCAGTGGGATTTATGGGGGCGGGGGTGGGGTGGGGGTGGGGGTGAGGGGAAGCTGTTGTTTGTTTTTAGTCAGGGTCAAAGGCTGGCCTTGAACTTGATCCATAACTGGGGTGATCCTAGCGCACCTGCTGCCTCCGCCTCCACCTCTCGTGCTGGGATCCCAGGCCTGGACCACAGCTGGTTCTCAGTGCTGGAGGCAGAAGCCAGGTCTTCACACATGCCAGGCAAGGGCCCTACAAGCTGAGCCCTCTCCCAGCCCACAGAAGGAGCCTTAAAACCTAACTTTCCCTTTCCTGATGCCCTCTCGTGCCACCCACAGGCTTCCAGTTATTGCCAAATTCATCTCCTAGGCCTCCTGGTGTGAGGACCCAGTGCTGGTCACATTACCACCCCACCTCCCTCACTCCCTAGATGGGTTGGCCACATTGAGTTGCTAATTCCTGCTTTTCCTCCTGACTGGGTCTCAGCAACCACCATGCATCCTCCCATCAGACACCACAACCTCCAGCATGTCCTCCCTGACTGTCCCCTCCCTGCCCAGCTGTGGCTCAGGCACAGCAGGTGGCAAAGAGTGGGCCTCAAAGATAAGGTTCTGAGGGATGGATAGGAGTTTTCCAGGCCAAAAAATTATTAGAAATTTCTTGCCCATCTGTCACTATAGGATATCCTGGCTGCCAGGCTTCCCTCTCCTGGGCATCTAATACTGTACCTTCACTTTATAATACTGTACCTTCACTCTATTCTCTCTCTCTCTCTTTTTTTTTAGAATGTATGAACTGTACCCGGCTTAGCGACATGAGTGATCGTCTGACCACGCTGGAGGCCAAGGTTAGACCAGCTTGGTGGCCTGGGGAACCAACAGTGAGTGGGGATGGAGTGTCATGAGACACATGCTGGACATGGCTAAAGAAAGCCCCTTTCCAAGGAGCCAGGCAAGCCTGAGCAGCCTAGTCTCGGGCATCGAGAACTGCTGAGCCTTCGTGGCTCCGTGTAGCCTCATTTGGACCAGCCTCCTGCGATAGGAAGAGGGGGATGACGTTCTCAGGGAGTGGCCAGTCTAGGGTACCATCCTCCCAAGGCATGCTAGGAAGCTGGGTTAGCGAAGTCAGTCACCGGCTTTCCAAAGCTGTTGTTCCCCAGTGAAGGACCTGCTCAGGACTGGGAATGGGGGAACTTTTAGTAAAAGACCTGGAGGAGGGACTACCAACCAGAGGCTCAAGTCCTCAGTGGGTGCCCCAGGGACACAAGGACTTGTGGCCTCCCCTGTGCAGAGAAAGGGCACGGAAGGGCACAGGGAACCCCGTGCATAGGACAGGTGTGTTCACGGGTTGGGTACCTGACCAGGCCTTGGGGTTCCACGCTGTGGTTGCACTGGGGGGAGGTGTTGTGTGACAAGATGTCCTGAGGAGACACAACACACATCTCACCCTTGACAGGGAGCCCAGGACAAGCCAAATACAGACCCCACCAAGGCATAACTGAGCCAGTGAGTTTCGTTGGGGTTATTCACAGGAATATGGGTGAGGGCTTACTTACAGGAACAGAAATGGCTCGCGGGGAGCTGCCACAGCAAAGCCCAGCACTGCTTCGTGACAGTTCACAGAGCTGGGGTCCTGGAGTATACTGCAGCCTGTGGGCAGCTCAGCAGGGTAGAGTCTCCTTTCCAGGGGATAAGATTCTACCTTTTAGTTCCTCTTGGGGGTGCTGTCGAGCGCATGCTTAAGTCTACCTACCTAGGAATTTCCAAACCCACCTGCTCTCTTGTTCTCCAAGGGATGAGGTTTCCTTGGAGTCTCCCACAGCCTGCCTTGCTTTCATCCTGCAATACAGTGTCTCTGTGGCCAGAAAGCAGGGGACAGGATCAAAGGTGCCTATATCATGTTCCTCATAAGGTCATCTTCTGTCCCCACTACACCCAGAGGGCTGGGTGATGAGCAAGAATGGCCTGGGGAGTGTCCCACTGAGGTGACAGAAACTTTTAAAGGAATAGGAACTTCTATAGTGGCCTGGCTCTCTAGGAAGAGCTAGCAGAGATAGATAGCCAGGACTCACCTAAACCCCAGAGAAAGAGGAGTCTCTCCAGGGGCCTGGAGAGGGAAGACCCAGCCTCAAGTTTCCATTTGTATCATTTGTGAATGAGTGAAAATTCAAGTGGTGCAGGCTGGGGATCTGGCTCAGTCAGTAAAGCACTTGCCTTGTGAGCACGAGGATCTGAGTTCGATTCCCGGCACCCATGTGAAAAAGCTAGTCATGGTAGAGTACATCTCTAATCCCATGCTGGAAGGCAGGGACAGGAGGATGCTTGAGCTGACTGGCCGGCTAGGCTAGCTTATGTGGTAAGTCCCAGGTCCCAGAGAGAAACCTTGTTTCCAAAACCAAGGTGAGCAGGGCCTGAGACATACCTGAGTCTGAGATCATCCTCTGACCTCCACACAAATGTATGGACACATACATGTGTGCACAGATGTGTGTGTACCCCACATACACACATACACGTGTGCACAGATGTGTGTGCCCCCACATACACGTGTGCACAGATAGGAATGCTGAACATACTTGGGGAGCAAGAGTATAGAAGATGCTCCTGACCCTAACCCTGTCACACCGGCATTCTGGAAGCCAGAGCAGGAGGATTGTGAGTCTGAGGTTAGCCAGAGCTATGCAGCAAGATTTTTGGGAAGGAAAGGGAAGGGAAGGAGGGGGGAGGAGAGGGGAGGGGAAGGGGGGAGGGGAAGGGAAGGGAGGGGGAAAGGAAAGAAATATTAAACCTGAGCTACATAGCAAGACTATCTAAAAAACTATCTAATGGATGGATGGATGGATGGATGGATGGATGGATGGATGGATGGATGGACGGACGGACGGACGGACAGGCAAGCAGGAAAAAAAGATGGGATGGGCATGGACACCGGTGAGATGGTTCAGTGGGTAAGGATACTTGCTTCCAAGTCTGATAACCTGAGTTCAATTCCTGGCATCCACATGATAGATGGAAAGAACCAACTCTTGCAAGTTGTTTTCCAACTACAAGTGTACCCCATCACACCACAGACACGCACACACACGCACACACACACACACACGCACACATGCACACGCACACACGCACACACGCACACACACACGCAAAACATTAAGGGACAGGTTGTGGGAAGCATTCTGCAGACTAGCATTCTCAAGGCCCAGGACGTACACTTCACTGTAATCAGACCACTGTGCAAGTAGGCAGGGTCTCCAGCCCAGGCCCAGGGCACTGTTGACAGCTGAGGGACCGTCGTTTTTTTCTGGAGTCAGCATCTTTGCGGAGACTTGAGGGTGTGTGGGGTACAGAGCTTACAAAGGGAGGGCTGCTGGGGAAGAGGCTGGGACAAACTTCTGCCCCTAAGGTTTCAGAGCAGGGGCGGGAGGTCGCTCTGACGGGCAGTTTCCAAAGCCATGGTAAGGGTTTGGCATGGAAGAAAAACTGGCGGCTTGGCTTGGCTCCGGTTCAGCATTCTGGGTGTCAAAAGTCACAGCTCTTGGGGGCCAGCTGTCTCCCTCACACCTGGCTCACATATATGCCCTCTGGCTGAGAGCACCACCACCCCCATCTCCCCATTCCCCACATAGGGGACAAAGAACCTCAACAGCCTAGGTCACAACCACCAAAGGCTTGCCCTCTGTCCTTTAGGCTGGCAAAGAGACAGAGGGACCTCAGGGTACCATAAAAGAGGCACCTCCAAGATGAGGTACCATGTCCGGAAGCTCAGGGCATGATGCCTAAGGAAGTAGCTTGAATCTGGGAAGCCTGGGGCCCACCCTGGGGCAGAGCCCAACTCCTCAGCCCAGGATGCTTAAAGCAGATTTGTTAGTGCTCAGAACAGGGCTGAGGACCCTTGACTCATCCCCGTGCCATTTTCCAGCTTCCTGTTCTGTGTTCGTGTCTCCTGTCTGAGAGCCACAGGGCAGAAGCCTGGAGACTGAGACTTCTAGTTTCTCAGATAAGACTACTGTGTGGTGGGGGCTGGAGAGAGACGGCTCAGTGGTTAAGAGCACTGACTATTCTTCCAGAGGTCCTGAGTTCAATTCCCAGCAACCACATGGTGACTCACAACCATCTCCCATGCCCTCTTCTGGCCTGCAGGCATATATGCAGATAGAGCACTCCTAACAAAGAAAGAAGAAGAAAAAAGACCACTGCGTGGCGCAACAAGTTGCAGAGGTTGGGGGGGGGGGGGGCGGAAACAGACAGACACAGCCAAACAGGGGCTTACTCTCTAAGTGTTTGTTCAAATGGAAATCCAAGAATTGGCAGTCTTGGGATTTGTCCTGTGACAAAGGACCCAGGATCATTATGGCCTTCTTCCCCCTCGGGTCCCCAGTGAACCGGTTTCTGAGCTCCCATGTGATGCCCCATGTTCTAAAGTGGCTGCCACAGCTAAAGGTGTCCCATCCTCACACTGGATCAACAACATAGAAAAGGCAAGGGTTAGACAGAGTGCCCAGCAGACTCGTGTCTCACGGGCCAGCACCGGGCTGTGTGGTTGGAGGTCACCAGCCAGGAGCACTTGACAAAGCAGAAGGAGGCTGCCATGATCGATCACTAATTACGTTTCCCCAACACTCTCTGGGACACATACTACAGACACTACACAATTGGAAGGGTGAGAGCAATGGTTCTCAACCTGTGGGTCACGACCCATTTGAGAGTCAAATGACCCTTTCACAGGAGCCACCTAAGGCCATTGGAAAACACATATATTTACATTGTGATTCATAACAGTAGCAAAATTACAGTTAGGAAGTAGCAATGAAAATGGTTGGGGGCATGTCACCCCAGCATGAGGAACTGTGTTAAAGGGTGCCAGCATCAGGAAGGTCGAGAACCACTGCTCTAGAGCAGGGTATGGAGGGAAAGTTGAGGGACAGGTGGCCATTAGGATGGGCTTCCCTTTGTCCCTGGCAGGATGGGCCAGAGGCCAGCAAGGCCCTGGCTCCTCTTCTGTCTCCTCTCCCTTCATGTGCACATGCATGGTCGCATGGTCGTGAGTGCAGGCCACAGTGTGTGTGAGCGAGCAGAAGTCAACTTGGTGGTAGTGGCTTCTCTCCCTCCACCATGTGGATCCTGGGGATCAAATTCAGGTCCGCAGGCTTGGCAGCAAGCTCCTTTACCCTCTGAGCCATCACACCAGCCCATACTCTGGCTTTCTTGGACTTGTGTTCCATCCATGTCAACCCTGTAAACGCAGTCTGGGAATGGATGGATTTTCCCCTGCTAGGAGATCAACCATGCCAAGCCAGGGGTGCAGAGGCTCAGGCTGAGACAGATTCAGATTTGACCAAGGCTAGGACACCTCTGCCTAGGTTCGAGTGCTCTGTGGACCATGGAGGCTATGTGGAAGCATCCAGAAAAGAGCCAACCAAGCATTTTATACCAAAGCAAGGAGCTGGGGGCAGGCCCCTTTGAGGAAGCCCAGAATTTAGCAGGAAGAGTACCTTGGTCAGTCCTTAGCAGCTCGGGGTAGACACTTCACAGATCCCTCTGGCTTGCCGTTTGTCCTGATTCCCACCAATCTTACCTCCCATACAGCACCGCCCCTCCACACTGCACCCCTGCCACCACGCGCGCGTGGGCACACACACACACACACACACACACACACACACACACCCTTGTCCTCCCACATGGCCTTACTTCAGCTTCAGGTACCTGAGACTTGTCCCCTTGCTCATCTCTAGGACCCTGGAGGATGCTGGGATATAATACATCCAAACTGCTTATCAATTGCACCCCAAGCTGACCTTGTTTAATGGACAACACAACTCTGTGCTCCTGAGGAGCAACCTTCTTCCCCCATCCCTAACAGAGGCTTTGTTTTGGGCTGTGAGGTTTCTGTCACTCCATGCTCAGGTCTACTGTGCTGAGTCACCCATCCCATGCCACCCACAGACCCGCATTCCTTCCGTTACTTCCCCCCTCCCCCCACCGCAGCAGCATCCCTGCAGTAGCCAGAGCTCTGGGATGCCCACAGGCTGAGCAGGATTCAGAACCTTCCCTTTCTGGTGGGAAATCGGGGGTGGGGGTTGGCTGGGGAGGGGTGTCAGGAGATCCGAGGTTGAGATTCTGGTCTGGCCACCCACTCACTGGGTGACCTTAGAGTTGTTATGTGCAGTTTCTGAGTCTTGGTTTTCCAGGTCACATATGAGGACGATGCACAGACCCTTCCTGACTCAAGAATCAAAGAGAGTGGCTTAGCTGAGTGGGCCTAGAGCCAGGTACAGAGGAGTCCCAGGTAGCTATATTGGGAAGGCATACCTCCCATGAAACCTCAGGCTAGCCAGGTTCCAGGGTAGAGAAAATAGATGTTTGTTCCTTTGATTGCCAGAGTAACCCCTCTGCCCTAGGACCCATCAGACTCCAGACCTGTCACCCAGAGCAGGGGTTGCCCTGTGTTCAGTCCAGGTATACAGCGCCCTCTGATGGACACTTCAGGAACAGCTAGGGATCACTGGGGTTTGGAATTTTTATATTATTGTTGTTGTTATTACTATTACTATTATTTGGCATACAAAAGGTCCAGAGAAGTACTTCAGCAGTTAAGAGCACTCAGTGCTCAGTGCTCTTTCTGAGGACCCAGATTCAGATCCTAGCACCCACATAATAGCTCACAACCCGCTATAACTGCAGTTCCAGGGGTTCTGATGCCCCGTTCTGACCTCATGGTGCATAGACATGCATGCAGGCAAAATACTCACATTCATAAAATAAAAAGAAAAGCTCCAAAAATGTCACACAAAGTATGGGTTTTATTACAATGTTTCCATACATTACTTGAAAACTTGATTCAAAGGAAATCAGGCTCCTCATATTTGCCATCTTTGAGCCCCAATTCCACTGAAGGGAGCTGGCAGGGCATGAGGCACTGAGGAGCCACGGCCTCCATTTGGTGCCAAGAGATGCCAAGAGAATCAGATCAGACCATGTACACCTTCTTTCTTGTCCATCCACCCACCTAACCATCCATCCATCCATCCAGCAATCCAGCAATCCAGCTAGCCAGCCATCCTTCTATCTTTCTGTCTGTCCATGTGTCCACTCATGATTATTCCACAGTGAAGGAATCTGAACACTAAGCCATGGAAAGAGGGGACAGGGTGCACAAAACTCACCCTGAGTGGCGGACAACTGGTCTCAGGGACCATCAGGGTTCATGTCATGTGTCCCTGCATACCCATGACCCTGTTCTGCTCAAACAACAGCAACACTAACACACACACCACACACACACACACACACACACACACACACAATGTCTCATATAGCCCAGGCTATCCTTGAATGCTTATGTACCCCAGGCTGGCCTTGAACTCTTAAACTCTTAATCCTTCTGTCACCACCTCCCAAATATTGGGTACATGGGTATTCCCATCATGCCCAGCTTTTCTTTTACATTTTCTTAAGTCTTTTAAAACATTTTGTCTGTTTTTTTTTTTTTTTTTTTTTTTTGTGAATGTCTCGTAGGGGCATGCACGTGCCACAGCAGACATTTGAAGGCCAGAGGACAATAGGCAGGAGTCAACTCTCTCCTTTCACCATGTGGGCTCTCAGGGATCGAACTCAGGTCCTCAGGTTTGGTGGCAAGCACTTTTACTTTCTGAGCCATCTCGCCAGCCCATTCTTTTTACCAAAGTTGTCTAAAAGTGGGCGCCACATTTTTTATGTAATTTTAATTGTATTCAATTCAAGAGAGAAGGGGCAGGGAGACCCTGACTATGAGAGGAAATATGCAGTATTCGTCTTTCTGAGTCTGTTTTATTTTGCTAAATATAATGATCTCTCTGCAAATGGCGTTCATCTTGATGGCTGAATAATACTCCACTGTGTATCTGGGCCTCATTCTTCTTGTCTGTCATCTGCCCCTGTCCTGGCTGGCTAAGGCCTGACCGTCTACCCTTCCCTGGCCAGGTCCTCCTGCTAGAAGCAGCTGAACAGCCTTCAGGTCCAGACAATGACCTGCCACCCCCGCAGAGCACCCCGCCCACCTGGAACGAGGACTTCCTGCCGGATGCCATTCCTATTGCACATCCAGGGCCCCGGAGGAGAAGACCCACAGGTCCAGCTGGTGAGCAAGGCCTCAGGGAAGGAATCTGGCCAGGGAATGAGGTCAGAGTGAGTACTGAGGGCCTCTACACATAGGCCACAGCCTGGCCTCCTGGGTCTAATTTGCTCATGTGCTGTGTTGAAACTTGATCTAATTACTTTAAAAAAAAAGGTAAATTAAGCATAATATTAGAATTTCACGTTCTTTAAAATGGTAAAAGACCTAGCCAGTACTGATAGCTTAAGTCTGTGATCCTAGTTACCGGGGAGTCTGAAGCAGGTAGATTATAAGTTTAAGGTTCATCTGAGCCATGGAGAGAATTTAAAGCCAGCCTGGGCAACTTAGCAAAACCCTATTCCATTTCAAAGTATAAAAGGGGCTGGAGGGGGCTGGAGAGATGGCTCAGTGGTTAAGAGCACTGATTGCTCTTCTAAAGGTCCTGAGTTCAATCCCCAGCAACCACATGGTGGCTCACAACCATCTGTAATGAGATCTGATGCCCTCTTCTGGTGCATCTAAAAGCTACAGTGTACTCATCATATACATAAAAATAAATAAATAAAATCTTTGAAAAAAAAAATAAAGGGGCTGGAGGTGTGGCTCAGTGGTAGATAGTGCCTAGAATCCCCCAGTGAGGGGCTGGGGGCGTGGCTCAGTGGTAGAGCCCCTGCCTAGAATCCCCCAGTGAGGGGCTGTGGGCGTGGCTCAGTGGTAGATAGTGCCTAGAATCCTCCAGTG